GGAGTGTGTGGGTGCAGACCTGACAGTTACTGCTGAAGATTTTGTTCTTTGTTCTGAGTGGGCTGGGAAGCCCCAGAGGGCTGCAAGCTGAGCAGTAGTACCGCTGGCACAGCATGAAGGGGGCAAGGGCAGAAGGAGAGAGCTAGAAGAGGCTGCAGCAGTTACCTGGGTGAGGGAGGGGCAGGAGGAAGATGCCAATCCAGGGAGACTGGTCCAAGGCCAGCTAGATGGTGAAGGAGGCCTTGAAGGATGTCTTAATGGAACTGGCTGTGGGTAGAAGGGGTCAGAGAGCCACTAAGTAGTGGTAACAATAAGGTAAGTTTCCAAGGAACATGAGGATAAACCCAGATCCATTTCTGCTCAAATAAACACACACAATAAGCACATTCCCATTGTGTGGGGTCTTTGCAAAAGGTTCCGTGTGTGTTATCAGGCTAAGGCTGCCATAGCAACATACTGCAGACTGGGTGGCTGGCACAAGTGGAAGTTTGTTTGCCCAGTTCTAGAGCCAGGACCAAGAGTGAGATGCTGTAAGGGTAGCTTTCTGATGAAGCCCTTCCTGTCGCTTGCAGGTAGCTGCCTTCTCCCTGCGTCCTCACATGGCCTTTTCTTTGGGCACATCCTGGGTCTGGAGCCGGGGGGCTCTCTTCCTCTCTTCCTCGTCCTGTTAGGACATCAGTCCTTTTGACATTAAGCCCCACTCTCAGACCTCCCCTAACCTTTATTACTGCCATGTAGGCCCATCTCCAAATGCAGGTGAGGGATGCACCCTTGGGGATTGGGTGGGGGGTGGTGGTTCAAGCTTCAACATATGGATGGAGGGTGAAGCACAAAGCCATCCAAATACTGAGGGTGGAGGAAGCTGTGAAGGGACCACAGCAGTTAGCAGTGACTGCCCAAGGGACTGCTGGCGGATGAGGGGATGATTTCTTTGCCCCATCACTGGTTGCAGAGGACACATATCCACTAAAAAACTTTTTTGAAGAGACAATTAGAAAAGCAAGATTTTACCTGGGGCGGGGCATATGTTGGTTCTAAATTCACTCCCACACATATTTTTATTTTATTTATTATTTTTTTAGAAAAAGATTTATTTATTTTTATTGGAAAGGCAGATACACGGAGGGGAGGAGAGACAGAGAGGAAGATCTTCCGTCCAGTGGTTCACTCCTCAAGTGGCTGCAATGGCTGGAGCTGAGCCAATCTGAAGCCAGGAGCCAGGAGCTTCCTCTGGGTCTCCCATGCGGGTTGTAGGGTCCCAAGGCCTCAGGCCGTCCTTGACTGTCCTCCCAGGCCACAAGCAGGAAGCTGGGTGGGAAGCAGGGCCAATGGGATTAGAACCAGCGTCCAAATGGGATCCTGGCGCATGCAAGGTGAGAACTTTAACCACTATGCTATCACGCCGGACCCCACACACATATTTTTAAGGCCACCACCTGCCTCAGGCCCTGAGTGCCTTTTCCTGGCTCCCTCAAGACCTGGGCAGGGATGCTCAGGGAATTTGGCATTGGTGAAGAGTTAAAGGGGCCTGAGAGAAAAGAAGGAACAGGACTCCCCTTCCTGAATCAGGCATGGCATATCCCTACTAGAGCCCCCTTCCCAGCACTGGGAGAGAACACTGGCAAAGCCACGACCTGACCCAGGGCCTCACTCAATCTGGAAACCGCAACACTCAACCCTTACCTCTACTGATTCAATTTGGGAGTTCTCTGGAAAAGTTCTCCGGGCATCCCTTCTCACAGATCCCACAAAGGAGGGAATTCAGCACAGGAAGCCTGTGCAAAGCAGCCACCCCTCTCTGCAGGAGCCAGGCTCGGACTGCATGGTCCTCTCAAACTCTGGGAGTGGTGTGGTTTAGGTCTCCCTCAGCTCCCCACTCTGAAGGAAGGGACTAAGTTAACACTTGTCCCATCTTCACCCAACAGCATTATGCAACTTGGCAGTCACAGAAACTGAATCCCAACTCTGCCACTCCGAGGCTCTGTGCCCTTGACATTAGCCCTTCCAGTTGATTTTCATTGGAAGTATACACAGCTCCCTCCTGGAGAGATGGAGAACACCAAGGGAAGTGGACAAGCTGCCTGTGGCTTCCCCTAAGAATAGGCAGAAAGAGTGTTCTCTGCACACCTGCTCCATAAGTGTGCTAGCATAGGCCCAGGAACTGACCCTGCTGTGGGCCCAGCACCTCCTGCCCACTGGCATACACAGGATCACACTTTACAGTGAGGTCAGAAAAAAGAGCACCATGTTGCTTAGGGCAGTGGGGCTGGCACGGAAGCCCAGTTCTCCGCTGCCCAGGTTCTAGTCTCTTCAATTTCCCTCACCCCCATGTGACTCCTCTGTGTGCAGGCAGCCCGAGGAGTACTGGGAACTGGGCCAGCATGCGGTACCACTGTCCCTCTCCATTCACCTCCTGGCCCAAGCCCTTCTAAAAGAGTTGAGGTTCCACAGAAAATACTGAAGGAGCCTTCAGAATCAGGACTTTGAGCCCAGTGTGACGGCTCAGCAGCTAAATCTTTGCCTTGCACATGTCAGGATCCCATATGGGTGCTGATTCATGTCCTGACTGCTAAACTTCCTATCCAGCTCCCTACTGGTGGCTTGGAAAAACAGTCAAGGATGGCCAAAGCCTTGGGACCCTCCACTCACATGGGAGACCCGGAGGAGGCTCCTGGCTCCTGGTTTCAGATCAGCTTAGCTCTGGCTATTGCAGGAGTGAGCCAGTGGATGGAAGATCTTTCTCTCTGTATCTCATTTTCTCTGTCAATCTGACTTTCCAATAAAAATAAATAAATATTTAAGAAGAAAGAACCAGGGCTTCTAGAAAATTCACTGCAAGATCCTAGAGACCACAAACCCCTCACATGCTAGCCCTACCTTCCTTTTCCAATTCTCTGCCTAAACCTCATGCTCCAGGGAGAAAGTTCCTCCTTGGCCAGGGCCTCCACCATACTCTGCCCATGCTGGCATGCCCTCTCTCTACTTCTGTGGTATGGGGCAGCCTCCAGCATCCTATAAGGGAGCATAAACTGATCCAGAAAATACCACCAGGAAGAGGGTTTTTCCCAACCTCCCTTGGTCTGAAAGCCAAAAGAATTCAACTGGGACAACAACAACAACAAAAATTCAACTGGGGGTTTCTTGCCCAGAAAAGACTAACCCCCATCACTAGAAAGAAGTTCCACAAAGTTAGAAATCACCCAAGGGGCCAGTACCATGGTATAGTCAGTTACATAGCACCAGCATCCTGTACTAGCACAATTTGAGCTCTGGCTGTTTCACTTCCCATCTAGTTCCCTGGTAATATGCCTGGGAAAGTAAAGGATGGCTTAAGTCCTTGGGCCCCTGCATCCACATGGAAGACCTGGAAGAAGCTCCAAGATCCTGGCATTGAATTGGCTCAACTCCAACACTTGTTGCCGTTTGAAGAATGCACTAACAGATGGGAGATTTCAATCTCTCCTTCTCTCTCTGAAACTTTAACCTTCAAATTAAAAAAATAAGTAAATCTTAATCCAAAAAAAAAGAAGTCATCCAAACAGACCTTCTCACAGAAGTATCCCAGTTCCTATCTTTTCTCCTAAGTACCACGCCACTCCTAAAAAACTGTGTTTTTATAAAAGTCCCTTTCCTTTTCCCTAGTAGGAGGGTATGGAAGCTCCAAATTTGAACCATCTTTCTGAATCACATTTTTCTGTGAGCTCCTGAGTAGGTGGCTACGATTCTATCTTTTCTCAGTTTAATTCACAGCTCCCGTGCACTACACATAAGAGAAGTCAAGCACTGTCTCCTCTGAGCATCGGCAGTCCTCCCTGACCATTCTATCTTCCCAGGGCCTCCACTCCTATTTGTTTCCCATAGGATTTATCATCACTTCTGACCGCCTTGTCTGCTGAATAGTTTTAGTCACTCTGCCTTTGGCATGCCTCTTTCACACCTGATATTTGGATGAAATAGGAGGTCATCAAACGCTCTGTGAGGGAATACATCACTGCCTCTATATTTGTTGCTGAGTCTGTGACCTGGCTCCGTTCATTGTCACCAAGGTGCCATGATGGTGCCCAGTGTTAGAAACGCATGAAGACCCATTCACAGAAAAACTAACGCCTCTGTCAGGCCCTAGGGAAAGCAGAGGAGGAAGACATCCTCCTTCTTCTACAAGTTTCCTGACAAAAAGAAACCAGAAAGCTGTGTAAGGAGCTGTGTAAACAAACGCAACTCCAAGTGCAGTTATTTAGTATACAAATGAAGCAGAGATTGTTACCCTGTTCTCTGGGCTTTTGTTTGGGGAATAATTCACGTCATTCTGCTAATTACAGAGCAGAGCTGGATAACAGCCCACTGAGATGGAGCACACATTGTTTTTGGCTTCATGTAGACAACTGGGCCTGGGGAGAGTCCACCCCTGGGTACACGCAGCCCCCAGCTTCTCAAAGGGCCGGAAAACCAGGAGAGTCCCTGGGGGCCTTCTGGCCTCAGTCAGGGTGTCTGAAGGCCTCAGGAACAGGCATACTGTGCTTCACTTCTCCACTCCCATGAAGAGCAAATAAAGAAAGGGCACACTGAGAAAAGTCCAGGGCCCAGGAATTCCAACTTCCCTTGTTGGCTGTGTGACCAACAGTATGCTGCTCCAGTATTTTACTGTCTTCCCCAGGTGGGGAGCAAGAAACACCTTCCCTCCATCCACACAGGTGTTTTGGCCAGTCTACACATTGATATAAGACAGAGCAACAGGACAAAAACATTAATGCTACCTGTGTGTACACAAGAGTCACAGTTAATGAGACTTGAAAGAGGGACAAATGACCAGAGCCTGTGCAGCCTCCTGAGTCACAGCGGGGAACAAGAGCTTGAGGCTCCTGGGGGTGACAGAGACACTGTGCGGAAGAGCCAAGGGAAGATGCCTACTGTGCTGAGAAGCTTTCTTGTTAGGATCTCTCTTCCAAAGGAAGACAGGTCTTCAGGCACATGAGGGGGCGGGAGAAAGCCTCTGTCTGTACCTGCTGTTTCCAAGTGCTCTCAGCTCAAAGTCATCAGCACACCACACATCCTCTTTGGAGAACGCATTTCCTGGGCTCCAACATCCAACTGTAAAAACAGAATTATTATCCCCATTTTCAGGCTGTGTAAGGATTAGATGGGATAATGGATGCTCTAAAACCTGCTTTGTGGGCATTAAAGCATTACACAAACACTTACGTCCAGCCTGAGCAGGAGGCCAAGGGCAGATTCTATTGAGTGCGGAGTTTTCCAGCATGCAGGTTGTGAACCATGATGCAGGTCCTTTAAAACCTGGAGGGGGGTATAAAAGAGAGAAAAAGTGTTTCTTTCTGACTTTCTAGCTTTTTTCCCAAGGTCCCTGCTTCAAAAGGATGATTAATAGAGAAAAACAGACAAGTTGATTAATATGCCTATCTCATACAAACATGGCAGCAGTTTGGGGAGAGTAACTCAGAGAAATATCTCCAATACGAGCTTGACTAGAAGTTCCAGCTAAACAAAAGAAGGGTGCAGGAGAGGCAGGCTGTGGAAGGAGCTGCCCACTAAACCAGGGTGAGGCTTGGGGCTGCTTCTTCACCCTTAGAGACAGAGATATGCTGTATAAATGACAATTTCCCTTATAAAATGGTAATTTCTCTCTTCAGAGCTTCTCCTGGGCCTGCTGTTTCTCAAATAATCACTCACAATAATCCTTTAGCTAAAAAAGCATACACTGAGCCCAGAATGATGGCCTGATATGCACTGGGATCCTATTTGGGCTATGGTTCGTGGCCAGCTGCTAAACTTCCCATCCAGCTCCCTGCTTGTGGCCTGGGAAAGCAGTCGAGGATGGCCCAAAGCTTTGGGACCCTGCACCCGTGTGGGAGACCTGGAAGAAGATCCTGGTTCCTGACTTCGGATTAGTTTAGCTCTGGCCATTGCGGCCACTTGGGGAGTGAACCAGCAGGCAGAAGACCTTTCTGTGTCTCCTTCTCTCTTTAAATTTGCCTTTCAATAGAAATAAATAAATCTTTTTTAAAAGGCATATTTTGGGATGGCTTATTCTGGCCTCCTACAGTCATATTTTAGGGTATTGTAAAATCCCATACCATACCCTATATAATGTGTTTCAGGCAAAATATAGGTGCATCCAAATACTATGTAAGATTATCACCAGGCTATGTATAAAATTTATACGAAACAAAGGCATTTTGCAATTAGGCTTGAACTCCATACCCAAGATTCTTCATTGTGTTTATGCCAATATAACCCCCAAACAAGCAAAAATTCAAAACCAGGAACATTCCAGCACTGAGCATGTCAGATAATGGATATTCTACCTGTACTAAGCACATTCTCCTCTCCTACAGGAGAGTCCTTATAGGAATCTTTATGCTTTTGACAGAGTGGATTAGACATTTTGTCTTGGTTCTCACCCAGCCCTGCCTCAAGAACGACTGGCAGGTTCCTGTGTGGGAGCAAACCATCCCAGGGTGAATGGGAAGTATGTGGAGATCGTGAGAGAGAATGGAAGGATCCAGAAGTTGGAAGTTGTACACAGTGAGAAGAGAACAGGAGCCATGCCAGCAGATGCACACCCAGGACTCCTTGGAAACATCCGTGGGAAGGGCAGACTCCTCTAACCTCAGAGCAGGTCACTTATTTCCGATATTTAAGGATAATTCTAGAAAGCTGGACATGTGGGTCACTATGTGAAGAGCTGACTCAGTTCAAACATGGGTGAAAATTAGGAAGATACAAAACTGTAACGTTAAGCAAGACCCACCTAGATGACAGGTCCTCACCACCATTATTATGTGGTTACTGCCACCATCTCCTACCATGGGGCAAAGGTTCATGACCGTGACTGGCAGAGTAACAGCCCTTTGAAAATGTCCTAGTCCTAATACACAGAACCTGTGAAAATGTTATGGTTCATGACACAAGGGAATTAACCCTGAAGGTAGAATTAAAGTTGCTGGGGCTGATGCCATGGTGTAGAGGTTAAAGCCATTATCTGTGACACTAGACTTTCATATAGGTGCTAGTTTGTGTCCTGGTTACTCCAGTTCTGATCCAGTCCCATACTAATGGCCTAGGAAAAGTACCATAGGATGGTCCAAATGCTTGGCCCCTGAGCTCATGTGGGAGACCCAAAAGAAGCTCCAAGCTCCTGGCTTCAAATCAGTTTGGCTTCAGCCATTGTGGTCATTTAGGGGGTGAACCAGCAGATAGATCTTTCTGTCTCTCCTTCTGTCTATAAATCTGCCTTTCTAATAAAAATAAACCTTTTTTTTTTTTAAAAAAATCTCTCTCTGTGACTCCAATAAATAAATAAACCTTGAAAATAAATTGCAGCTGCTAATCAATGATCCTAATATATTCAATGACCTGGTCGTCCCTATGGAATCATAAAGGTCCTTACTAAGGAAGAGGGAGGTAGAGAAGTGTCAGACAGACACAAAGGGAAAATGACATAACCCGCTCAGGCTGGCTTTGAAGATGGAAATGCCATCTACGGCCATACCACCCTGAACGCGCCCGATCTCGTCTGAAGATGGAAATGCCATGAGCCAAGGAAGGCAACAGTCTTGAAAGATGCAGAAGTAAGAAAAACAGCTCTTCCCTAGAGCACTTGGAAGGACCTGGTCCTGTCCACATGTTGATTTCGGCCTAGAGAGATTCTGATCTCCAGAACCTGTCAGTAATGAAACATGCTACTGTGGCAAAAGAAAACTCAAACAGTGACACCATACAATGAGGTGACACAGGACCAGGAGATAGCAGGCCCCAATCAGTCCCATAACCAGCTCATACTGTTTCCTGGTGTGGGCTGCCTGACTCTTCTAAGAATCAGGAGCCCCTCATGACTAAATTAGGGGCAATAAATACTACCCTGTCCTGGGGAGGAAGCAGTGAGTCAATTCGGGGTATGATGGTTTTTGAAATAATAAGAAGAATTTTAAAAAGGCCAATGGGGTGTTGGTGAGTTTAGCGTCTTGGGGAGGCTGGCAGCTGAGATCCTGGGCCCACGATGACTCAGTAAGCCCCAGAGGAGCAAGCAGGGACAAGAGTTGGCTGTGCTGGGAAACCCAACAGGGCATGAGTCAGCGAGGTATACACAGGGATGAGACTGGGCTTCCCTGAGACTTCCTTTCCAGAACAGAAACCCTGGAGGGTGAAGCATTGCTCACATGTGGATTTGGCACAGCGGTCCCTGAATTCCCTGCAGACCACACCTGCTCCCTGATGACACTTGCAGGTTCAGCTGGACTTAATTCAGGCATGGTCTCATGGGAAGCATCACTTAATCATAATGGCGTCTACAGCCATGGTCCTCCCAAGAGCCCCACATTGGTGCTTAGCCTTGAGGGAGGCCTGACATGAGAGACAGAATCAACAGGGGAACTCAGCCTGGTGATCAGTGAACCCTGCCTCTCCTTTACAAATAAAGAAAATAAGTGACTTTTCCACATGTACACAGCAAGTGAGAGCCAAGAAGGGCTACGACACAAGTTCTTGATTCTCAGCCTATTATTTCTGTTAACCTTTGGTGGGGGTGAGGAGTCACACACTTCTTTGGGAATTTGATATTTATTGTGGATCCTTTCTCCCCCATAAAGAAAATGAACATCAATTTTGCCTCCAATTTTGGGATGTTTGTCAATAGTTCTACCTATGGACCTCATGTTAAATGCCTATGCTACAACACACCCTCTACCCCTCTGCCTATTTCTACTGCCTCGGAAGAAACCACAGTGCCTGGATATGCCCCAGCCTTGTTTTTGTTTTTGTTGTTAAAAAAAAAAAAGTGTGCATATCTCTCTTGTAAGACACAACTCCATCTTTCGGATACTTCTAATTTTTTGTATAACCTTTGAGATATAATTCACAGATTACACAATTCATCCATTTAAAGTACACAACTTGGCTTTACATATTTAGAGATGGATGATAATCATTGCAATCATTTTTAGAACATGTTCACTCAAAAAAAAAAAACCCCATACGCATAGGCAACCACCTCCTATTATCCCTCAACACCCTCCATCCGCAGTCCTAGGCGACTGCTGAGCTCAGTCTCCACGGATCTGCCTGCTGTGGACATTCCAACTGTACAAACAAAACGATACCACATGTGACCCTTTGTCATTGGCATCTTTCACTCAGTAAATTTTTTCAAGGTTCACACACATTGTAGCATACATCAATTCTGAGTTATTTTTATTGTCAACTCGCCTTCAATTTTGTTGTTTACAAACCAAGCAAAGACATCCTGCCAAAATGTATCAAGGCGTATTGGTCAAACTGGCCAGATCACATCAGGTTGTGTTCAGGGCAGGACATGTTCTTCCAGGGGCTGTAAGAGAAGCTACTCTCCCCATCTTGTTCCCCACATCCGCTGGCTACCCAGCTCTAGAGTTGGAGCCTTTCTTGTGTACGCACTCCCCAGGATAGACACGTCCACAAGCTTTCCCTGCCAGGGCTCAGACTCACTCTGATCACCTCCCCAGCTAGCCTTCATTTTCCTCATCTCTGCACTCCGTACCACACTTATCTTGTGCACAGGCTAGAGTGGCCCTCTGCCACATACATTTGACCAAAACACCTCTTGTATCAGTTCTTGCCTCTGGGCCTGAGGGGGCTCAGGACCCCCTTCTCTTCCCCTGGCTCAGGCCAGCTGAGCACTCCATGCCAGGAACCACCTCGGGAGATTCCTCTTCACCCAGCCCCTGGCACTGCAGCATTACGCTGTAGAGGTCTTCCCAGCACTGCAGACGTAGCAGCTTTCATAATGGGGGAACAGGATACAGCTCCCTATTTCAAAATATACAATTAATTATTGTCAGTTATAGTTATACTATGGTGTTATAAAATACTGGAAGTTATTCCTCCAGCCAATCTCACCCTGTTATCCTTTCTCCACCTCTTCCTTCCCCAGCTCTGGTAACCACTATTCTATCTTCTAGGAAATCAGCTATACAGCTTCCACACAGAAGCCAGAGGGATATAATAATCACCCTTAGGTGTTTGACTCATTTTACTTAGCGTAATTCTTTCAAGATCTTTCATGTTGTAGCATTAGTCATTTTAAAACTGAATAATTACCATCAGAAATATATACACCTCATTTCGTCCATCCATTCATAGATATTTGGATGCTTTCCATGTTTTACTTGTTATGAACACGGTGTCAACGCAGGGACTTCATACAGCATACAGAGGGTAGGCACCTGGTGTAGCAGCTGAGACACCACCCGTGCTGCCTGCATCCCATGCTGCACTTCCTTGGTTTGAGTTCCA